TTGTGTCCATGTGTTTGATCATGATGCCCTTAGCTTTTACCTGGCATTCTACCAAGTGCTGTGTCTATCCTGGTGCAAGACTGCCCTGAGGTTGTCTAACATTAGATGGGTGCATTCAACCCAAAATGTTCAAGGTACATTTTGCTTTATCCTCTCTTACTCTCAAGCAAAAATGCCACAGCCAAGGCTAAAAACAAGAGATTGTAGCACGTAGCACGTCTGTACTTCTAGGCACTTATCAGACTGAGTAGATCACAGATGAATGCCATGAGAATGTAAAAATCCCTATGCAAGGGATTATCACATTACTACAATTATCCTTCTTATGTCTCTGTAAGGAGGGGATTGTTATTTTGCAGGTGCAGTAAAGAGGCATAAACAGACCAGCTGACATGACTGGTGTCACACAGAAAAGCTGTAGAGATTATTTATTATTAATAACATTCTTCTCCATGAACTATAACTTTCTGGATTTTTGTTCTGTGGAGCTCTGTTGAAGTTTTATCCCAAGCAGAAGGATAAATCCTATATATATGTGTGTATATTTATATATACCAATAAAATATGAAAATGGTAAGTTCAAGGAGATTTATAATGTCAAATTAAAATATTTATTATTAATAACTTAGCTGGGCATGGCTAAGCAGTCATGATAACCATTTTCACACATTGAAACCTTTAAACGAGAGGTCCAGTGAGGTATGCTGCAAGTATTTTGAGGAGCAACAGAAATTAATAGGAGTGAGATTTCCCATGGCACCTATCCTCAATCAAGGAAAGAATATACATTTCTTGCAGAAAACGTGGGATTTAGGATGCATGGAATTTTCTTCTTACAGTGAAAAATGCTAAGCAGAAATAGTATTTTCCCCTTATTTCTGAACGTCATGCACAGTGTCACCAGAAAACATCTCTGAGTAAAGCGTGTTGGAAGGACCAATGTCTAGGTTGTGAGACACTGCATCAGAGTTAGTATTAAAGACAAATCTTTAATGTGCTCCCATGAGGTGAAATGGCTTTTGTGGCATTTACTTTTCTTGCTTCTGTTCTGAGGCTGGTTAGGTCTGCTTGAGTTTTGTTGATAGTCTCTCAAACTTTATTTGTCTCTAAGCAATGGAAATATAAAGGCATCAGTGTACCCCTGTCTGTTTTGCCACTGTGGCCCAGATCTTACCAGAAAGACTTAATTTAATTTTCTTGGGGATAAAGGGTAACTTCACAAAGCAACAGTGTAAAATTTTCTGATATACCATCTGGCATTGTAGATAGCATTTTGACAATGATTTGATCTTTTCAAGCAAGTTTCTATGGACAAATAAAAAAAATTAAAAAGGAAAAGGCTAATTAAAGAAGAGGAAAAATGGAGACTGTTTTTACTTGTAAAACAAGAATCCATACAGCCTCATGTAACAGTAGTGAGGGAAACAAAACAAACAAACAAAAACAAACCAAAAACCAGAGGCAATAGGTGGAATCTATTAATAATTTAATGAAAAGATGAGACTAAGGCTACAAGAAATTGAATTTTGCTCAGCTGCAGAAAACACTCTGAACTAGCAGGGCTGGACTGATGGAATTAATCTCTTCTATTAACATGAGAGATAATTTTATGTAAATGTATTTGGAGACCTTCTAGCAGAGCTGAGCATCTTACCAGTACCACTTAACTTCTTTGCAGAGTAATTGCATTTAGACCAAGGTCAACTGAAGGAAAGAGCTGACTAAATTAGCATTAACCAGGTTCCTGGGGGGCTTGAGGCATTGTAGACACTCAGTTTTGCCTCCAGAAAGGACACGTTGACACTAGAGAAGCCAGCTGCTTCCAGTACACTGTGTTTTATTCAGCTGGGGCAAATTTTATCACCCAGGGAAGGAGAAGATTTGAGACTCATCAGCGACAGTCGGGGCTTGCATTTTCCTCCAGTTTCCATCTCTACCTCTTTTAAATGGATTCAGATTCATACATCTTGCTCCAGCTTCTTTTTATCGCTGTGGGTTGGGAATGGTGTCCCCTTAAGTGGTAGCATCTTTCCTTAAAGCATGGAAATACAGCAATGGTTGCAGTCCTCAGGAGGGTGGGGGATGCAGCTGACAAGCTGCTATTTTGAGAAGACACAGCCTCCAAGTCTGTGAGCACAGAGGTGTTCTAGCAGAGTTGGATGAGTGCTGGGAAGCATCAGCCAAGATGGGAACTAAGTCTCTTTCCAAAGGTAGGGTGTCAGATGCATTTGCTATAGCTGCCAAAGTGAGAGGAATCTCTTTGTCCACCTTATGCTGGTGCTTGTTGTAGAAATAGTTGTTGGTGATATGTAATGGAGCAAATGCTTGTGGATATAAAGCACATCCCATTTACTGAGCCAATGGTCTAGGCCAATCTGCTTGCATTTTTACTTAGAACTTTAAAACTGCCTGGATGTGTGCTGTGTGTAAGCCAGCAGGAGAGACGCCTGCAACATGTCTTTTTTTTCTTTTCTTGCTTTGACCTCTTGGAAGAAAAAAGAACAGGTGGAAATGTTCTTCTTGGAGTCACAGAAATGTATGATCTTGTTCTTACTATTTTAAAACATTTGTAGTTGCAGTGTTTACTTGAATATGTGGAACAGAACACTGATTCCTTTGTACTCAGGTCTTAGTATTCATGAAACACTTTGCAGTGATTCCTTGTCTTCCACAAAATGTGAAGCCCATTTGATGAGAAGATGAGAGAAGGCAGTTTCAAACCCATCATATGGTCTCTCTCTAGGGTGGAAAAGAAAATAAGACAGAGTGGAGCAGATAATGAAAAAATCTGGGAAGAGAAAGCCTAGGTTCTGCTGTTGGCTCAGAGATGTGCTCAGACACATTCACTTTATGCAAAAACTGCACTGCAGATGATGACCTGTTGACTTCTTTGGGGTTATTCCAAGCATTGACATTTTTCCAAGCATATTCCATGGCATCATGATCCTTTCGAGTTATGCTCTACCTATGTGTTAGAGAGTGATGTGCATAATACTGTACTGGATTGTTGTTTTCCAGTTGTTGTATATGGAAAGCTTAGTTAGAACCTTAAATAAGAGAAGCAGTAGAAGTATTAAGGATATTATTCTCCCCATTAGCCCTATCCGTGAGAATGTTCAAGGCCAAGTTAGATGGGGTTCTGAGTAAACCAATCTAATGGCAGATTTGAACTAGATGATCTTTAATGTCCCTTCCAGCCCAAATCATTGTAGGATTGTAGGATTATTAGCTCCAAACTTAGTCCAAGTCTTTTCTTACATGACTCCTAAGAAGTCAGTAATGATATATCAGAGAACACTCAGTGGCTTAAAAATCATTTCCAGTATCTGATATTCTTGTGACCTATTCCAAAATTATATATGAATATAGTCACATCTTAGATTGCAGACACATTATGGCATTGCTGTGGTAATTTTTGATAATATTGGAGTTGTCCATTTAGATCATCAGGAATTTTGTTTAAGACTCCCTGGCAAATGGTCTGTTTGCTGTACTGTGAAATGTAAAAATTGTGCAGCCTTTATTAAATAGAAATTATACTTTATCTCTTTGCATTATACAATCTCAGATTTTTAGGTGAACTGTCTCTTTGCCTAATGATCGGTGTTTATGAAATCATCTTTACAAAACATTACAGAAATTATCCTTTGCCTCAGTGAACCAGCAAAGCACCATTGAAGTGCAGCTGGGATGATTTACTCTAGCTGAGATCTGGTTCTGCACCTGGAGAAACATTGGCTTTCAATCTCTGTTCTCCAGCAGGACAGCAGTTAGGAAAATTATTCATTGGGTCACGTTAACACACTGACACTACAATTTGCTGTTGCTGCTCAGAAAAATAGTTACCTTCAGCCAAAAATTGGGTTCAGACACTCTAACAGACATGTGATGTTTTGTCTTTATGGGAAGCTCCTAAGGTAGCGATGTAGTAATGACTTAGAAGTCTGGAAACAGACTTTGGAATGAGAACCAAGAAAATTTGTCTTTGGCTTTACTGCAGGTTTTCTGACTGACCTTGGACAACTGAAAATCATTCCGTGTTTTATTTCCTCTCTCTGTAAAATATCAATCTGGCTGTATTAATCAGTGTTTGTAAAGATCCTTGAAATCCTTAGATAAAAGAGCATATTACAGATCGCAGAGTATTTGGAATAGTTGTAACCTATTAAATGGTGCAATCTACCAAACTTGGGAAGAAAAAGAGGGAAAGAAAAAGCCCATCCTATTAGTGTGCTCAGCTCCCCAGGCAGATTGTAAGAAAGCTTTCTGAACCTGGCAAATTATCTGTCATGGTTTTCCCAAATGGGAAGGAAATGAGCTGCCAAGTCTTGGTCAGGATCTTTTGTGGCTTTTATGCCTTAAATGTGTCCATGTACTGCCAGGTAATTTTCTGTTCTCTTTGATTTTACAAAGCACCTTGCTGTTAATTAGGACAATAGTATTAAGACACTACTGGCTGTAGGAAAAAGTTCTTCACTCAGAGGGTGGTTGGGCACTGGAACAGGCTCCTGAAGGAGTGTTGTGGCAGCAAGCCTGCCAGAGTTGCAGAAGTGTTTGGACAACACTTTCAGGAATGTGGTATGATTTGAGGGCTGTTCTGTGCAGGGCCAGGAGCTGGACTCAGTGATCCTTTTGAGTCCCTTCCATCTCAGGAGATTGTATGATTCTGTGAAATTCCAGTGTGATGTTGTGAATCCTACAGAAATTTATACTTAATGAAGTATATGCTACAGCAGTTGCTTTTATATAATAGGGTAATTGTAAGCCTCACTCTGACTATCAAAGTATCAAACCTAACGTGGAATATCAGTACAAAATGCCAGAGAAAGCCTTCAAGGGCAGCATCCCCCCATCAAAGCACACAGCATGGCCTCCAGCTTTACAGGTTATAAAGGCCTTGGCTTTCTAATCCATAGGAATTCACAGCCACATCAGCAGAGGAAAAACATGCACTTGTCAAAAAGACTTACTGTTTCTTATTATTTTTCTCCTTCTTGCAGACATGCATGTGTGATTCGAGGCCAGGTGATGACAGCAGATGGGACCCCTCTAGTTGGAGTAAACATCAGCTTTGTCAACAATCCTCTGTTTGGATACACAATCAGCAGACAAGATGGCAGGTAGGATGTCTGTACGGGATTTACAGTGTTCAAGCAGCAGTAACAGCATTATTGCCATGACCACTAAAGAGAAACTCCTTCCAAGAGCACATTTTATTATTGATGCCTTTTGAAGATGTTGGTGCATTATTGTTGGTTGTTTTGGGGCCACATCTGGCTGATGACCAGTCCCCAGTGTTGTTCCTTGCTGTTCAATTCCAGGGCCAGTCTTGTTCAATGTATTTATCTATGGTCTGGATGCAGGAGTTGAATGCACCATTAGCAAGATGCTGATGGTACCAAACTGAGAAGTGCTCTTGATGCTCCTGAGGGACAAGAGACCTTGCAGAGGGATCTAGATAGACTGGAGCATTGGGCTGTGATGAATGGGATGCATTTTTAAAAGTCAGAATGCTGGATTTTCTTAACCTGGAACGGAGTAACACCTGGCACAAGTATAAACTGGGAGAGGAGTGGCTGGAGAACAGCCCAGCAGACAGGGATCTGGGGGTGCTGGCCAGCAGCAGCTGAATAGAAGCTGCTAGAGCAGTGTGTCTTGGCAGCCAGGAGGGCAAGCCCCATCCTGTGGTGTGTCAAACACAGCATGGCCAGCCAGTCTAAAAGGTGCTTGTCCTGCTGTATCCAGTGTTGGTGCAGCCTTGCCCAGAACACTGCATGTAGTTCTGGGCCCCACAGTTTAAGAAAGGTGTTCAGGTCCCTTAATGTGTCCAAAGGAGGGCAAGAAAGGGGTGACAGGACTGGAAGGAATATCCTGTGAGCAATATCTGAGGTCTCTGATTTCCTCCAGTTCAGAGAAAAGGAGACTTGAAGGGTGACCTCATTGCTTCCTCCAGCTTCCTGAGAAGGGAATGTGGAGAGGGAAGTGCTGAGCTCACCTTCTTGGTATCCACTGGCAGGACTCTTGGGAATGGTTCAAAACTGCACCAGGGGAGGTTTAGACTGGACATGAAGAAACATTTCTTAAACAGGCTTTCAGTTAAAGAACCTTCCCTGTCCAGCCATCTAGAAGCCACTCTGACAGTCACACTCACACCGTCTGGGCTGGGACAGAGGCCCCTCCACAGCCACACCCCACATCCACACTTACTCTGGGGTTCCTTACCCACCAGACCTCAGGTTTCCCACAGCACTATCTCAGATATCCAGATCCCTAAAACAATGTAATCTTGGTGCAATAGCTAAATAACAAGAAAACAGCCCAAGCTGGTGCCTGCAAGGAGGGACCTGGGACAAAGGAAGCCAGAGCTTTTGTCCCCTCACAGTCTAAGCATGGGAAAATCTGGAGTCTTGGGCTCCTGTGATGTCTCCATGTGGTCATTTGGAAGTTCCCTGCCTCTTGCCTCAGCCTTTGGCTTGGCCTCCTGCCCCTAAGGAGCTCAACCTGCAGCTCACGCTGCAGTTACACACCGAGCTACCTGCACCAAATGTAACCTCAGCATTCCTGGAGATGTTCAATGCCCCAAGTCTGTCAGTGTTTAAGAGGCATTTGGACAATGCCCTTAATAACGTAGTTTAATTTGATCAGCCCTGAACTGGTAAGGCAGCTGGACTTGATGATCCTTCCCTAACAAATGAACAACCTCTTCTCTTCTCTTCTCTTCTCTTCTCTTCTCTTCTCTTCTCTTCTCTTCTCTTCTCTTCTCTTCTCTTCTCTTCTCTTCTCTTCTCCTTTACTGTTATTAACTTTGTGATAGCAGCTAGAATCTTTAGCCAGCAATTTGGTAATACAGTGCCCATGCATGTAAAAAAAAAGATGTCTCCAGCTCCCAGCAGCTCTGTTCTTGCTAATTCATATTGAAATGATTAGGAAGAAGTCATTAAGATTACAGTTGTGTTAGAGGCAAAATCTGAGCAATCATGCTCAACCAAAACAAAAGCAGTGCAAATTGGGGATGTCTTTCATCTTATCTTTTGTTTGTCAGTGCTAATTGGCTCCCTTTCTTTTAAGAACAAAAACGTAACAGAAGGGGTTCCAGCTGCATATGCTATACTCATTGACTACTAACCACTAGCATTTGGGAGAGGATTTATGGATTTTAGCACCTCTCCAGTCCACAGCTTTCATTTGAGCTGGCCAGAGAAACAGATAGAATTGTAATGAAAAAGAGGAACATGTGCTAGCAACGTGTGCTTGATGCTGTCCTGTTCACACTCAGGGATGTTTGCACCTACTGTAACACTGATGGGGACTGGGAGGCTTTCCAAGTGATGTTCCAACTCTTCGATGTTATGACAATAAAATGCAGATGATAAAGAGGCATTCCAGGAAAAGGACACCCCTGGAGTTGGTGTCTTCTTATTGCCAGTAGCTTAGGCATTACTGCAAAAAGGAGAAAATTTGAACATTTGTGCTTAAGGGTATCTTTGACAACATTACTGAACCTTCTTTGTGGGAAAGTGGGATCCAAACCACACTCTCATGATCAGCTTGCTGTGTATGGACCAGCACAAAATCTGTCCTGTCCAGTAGAACAGATTAATATGACTAAAAGATACCTGGACAACATGCCTGTCACAACCTTTTGTTCTGTCTCTTTCCTTGTATGTGTACCACACCCAACTAATGTGTGTAATCATTCATTTAGATTACAAGTACTTTGGGGAAAGAAACCATCTCTTTGCTTTGCAATTGTGTTGCACCTAGCACTGTGGTGCTTTATTGTAAACTGGACTTCTAGCCAGCAAACATGTAAGCTAAAGGGACAGAGCATGCAGGTGCTGCTATCCAGGCTCCAGACCTTTGTAATATTCAAGCAGTGATTTCTTCCTGATTCTTGGGTGGTGAAAGGTAAACCCCTCCTGCTATAAATCTACTTCTACTGTCATTTCAAGCTAGGGATGCTCCTTCCATGCTATGTCCTTCCCAAGGTCCAGCTGAGCAGGGGCACAGGGCAGAAAGCAATGCAGCCAGAGCATTGGTATGCTCCACCAGGCTTCAGTGGACTCATAGTTCCTTGGAGTGGCTGCCAGCTTCCAGAAGCTAAATTAGTTTCAAGGAGCTCAGGGCTGCAGTTTGCTGACTCAGCCCCCAGCAGATACTCAGCTTTAAGTGATAAAAATGACAGAGATCAGCTGTCTCAGAGCAAGGAATCTGTGACCAAGTGGGATTCATCCTAAAACTCTGATTTCTGTAGGCAGCTGGTGGGGGTCAGGGTAACCCCAGACTCTGTGGTGTCAGCTCTTCTGATTTCACTTTCTTCACCTTCCTCTCGAGTCAATCTGCTTCTACAGAAACCTGGTGCACAAACATCAAACAAATTGTCCAATTGCAGTGCTGAACCTCCAAAATAATGAATATACCTTCCAACTTGGCTACAGGATACATGCTGGTATTTTCTCAAATGAGAAATGAACAGGCACATTAGTGCATCTGTGTACTCTGTAGGTACTCTATGGACAAAAACCACTTGTCCATAAATGGACAAGTTAAAGAACATCAAAATCCACAGAACCATGGAATGGTTTGGTTTGGAAGCAACTTTAAAGATCATCTAGTTCCAACTCCCGTGCCATAAGCAGGGACAACTCCCACTAGACCAGGTTGCTCAAAGTTCCATGAAATCTTTCCTTGAGTCCAGTGACTTCCTCAGTGGTCTGTAAATTGTCTTGAATTATTTAAGACCATTCAAGCTAAAATTTGTCAGGGCAGAAAATGTTGTCAGACACCCCTAATTTCTAATCCCAGCCTCTCTGCTGATTTAGTGGATAGCATTAGATGCATCTCTTGACCTTCCCAAGCCAGTGAACCAGCCTGTGAAAAGAAGTTAATATTTACTTACCTTCTTTACTGATTGTTGTAGTATTTATTTAATACTATTTGTAAAGCACTTTCAAAATCATGTAAAGAATTCATGCTATTCCAGTTTCTATTATATTTTTATGAGTTTGGGTAATTTTTTTAATAGAGCATGACATCAGCTTTTGTACAGCAAAATTTTCATGTTATTGAGTCAACTTTGATTTAAGAAATTGACGCTCTTAGACAAGAAGAAGGTTCTCCTGACTTACAGTAGCAGGCTGCATGCACTCCCAGTCCAGAACAGTGCAGTCATACAGGGTCATCTCTGCCATCTTCAGTGTCATTCTGGTTTGGAGAATAAATGGGAGCATATATGCAAGCAGTTACCTTGTTCCAGGGGTCACGAGATAACTGCATAAAACTCAGCAGGTTTATTATTTGGCATATTCACCATAGGAATATCTATTCTTGAAAATGTGCACTGAGTTGCCTTAAATTGATTTAGTAAATCAGTTTACTGATAGCAACTGGGGGTTTAAAGTAAGGGAATTTAAAGATACAATTGCATAAGTTTAGCTAGATTGGTTCCTAAGCTGATTTTATTGCTCCAGGTTTGGGGGTTTTGGGGTTTCTTTTTGGCATGATAAAATTTCCAAATGAGTAAGTAAAATTTCAGTTTCAGAATTACAGTGAACTAAATTTTTCACCTCTCTAAGGGGCCTCACTTTATTCCAGGTCTCTTCTATTACATTGCTCAGATACAGGCTGAAATAGTGAAACTCTGGTCCTGTTTGAGTCACATGACTTAGACTGAGCAAAACTTTTATAACTTCAAGGCTTGCATGTGTTTTTAGCCTAATTACTGCCACAGAGACTTGGCTTATATAGCAAGGCATGACTATAAAATGACAACTCTCAAACTACTCTGTTGTATGCATTTCTCCATAAAGCAAAGTTAACTGACAGTTCAAAGTATCAGTGCTAGATTATAAACCGTATTTTTTAAAAAAAAGCTTTAAATTTGATTAAAGTGGTAGTTTAGAGAGGCTGCAAGTCCTCAGTATCCCTGGGTTGTAGGAACAGTGTTAATAAAACAGCAAGAAAGTCTCCAGACTTTTTCCACATTGAATTCAGCAGCTTTGGCATAACTTTCTTAGAAATACCAAAACCATGAACTTTCAGAGAAAAGAGCTGAGAAAGGGTTACACTTTCCTATGGGGTTTTTATTTTTTGAGCTTGCTTTGGATAAATAGATAATTTAATCCTTCGGCTTGTCTCTCCAGAGTCTTTAAAGAAAAACAACAAAATGACTGTACAACAAGTATGATTTTTACAGAGTAATAAAAAATACATCAGAGATGAACAGCAAAAACAGAAATAAAATTATCTCCTTCCTTCAATCCCTGGGCAGTTTTCCTTTTGTTAAATTTAATTTCATTGGGGGAAACTAGGAGGTGGTTTTGGTTTGTTTTTTTCTGTTTGATTTTGGGTTTACCTTTTGTTCAGTTCATCAAGGTAACTTTAAAGCTACACCCTGGGACCCTGAGAAAACCAGCTTGCTAAAAAATACTGCATGGTTCTGTTTTCACAGCTGCTGAACCCTGACATGAAGGTTTTGCCTTCCCTTGTGCATCCTGTTTTGGGGATGCAGGACAGTCCAGGATGTTTCCCCCCAGCATTCCCCAGATTCCTATCCCTGATCCAGGCTCAGTGAAGCCAAAGGGATGAAACAGAGGTGTTTGCAAATAAAACCTCTTCAACTTGCCTAAAAACTTGTTGAGCATCATTTGTAATGTTTATTTCTTCCCTCCTGTTGGCCCATTCCGTGCCCGGATCCATGCAGAGCAAGCATCTCCCTCCCAGCTGAAGGACTTGCCAAATGCTAATTGACTGTTAAAAACATTCACATCAGGGTACAAACGTTGTGCAGCTTTGCTGGCAGGGACCAGCAAGTTACTCCTCAGGCTGCTGCAAGCCAAGCTCCATAGGTCTGGGAACATGATGCCCCAACTCGAGTGGTAGAATAAACATGGCTTTGGCTTTTTGAAGTGCTTTCTACTTCCCCTCATGGACTCAATTCAACAGTCTTTAATGAATAACCTTCTTTTCATAATTCTGTTTCCTAAACAGCACCTCAGTCCATTCGCCATGAAGTAAAAAAAGTTCCCCCAAAAAATTGCTTGACAAAGACTTTTTTTAGAAATAGTTCATGCCCATTGTTGCTTCTCTGGGATTTTTGCACCCAATCTGAAAGCCTCACAATTAATTTTTAAAAATAATTTTTAGATACTTTTTTCACCTTCTTTCTTTACCGTATATTTACAAGGTGCATCAAGTCTGGCTTTGGGCAATCAGAGTGTTTCAGATCCCAGTTCTCATGCAGAGAAGCACTCAAGCTCATAGCTCTTTAAGCACATGAGCAGCTGTGCTGAAACCAGTGAGCCTGATCACAGGCATAAACTCTCAGTGAGAGTGTCATACAGCAGTACCAAGCATGAAAGTGAGAAGCAGGGATGAGAACTTTCTTTGCCTGAAGCACGTTTGGCATTGCAACCGAAGAGACAGTGAGAAAAACACAAAGGAGCAAAAACAAGAGGTCATCAATTTCTATTGAAATCCTTTACATTTTTTATTTAACACCTCTTTTTTGGGTCTATACATAGTAGATATATCCCCCTGGTACTTGATAAAATCTCCATCTGTGACAAGATGTGAAGTTTAAGTACAAAACTAAGAAAACCCACCAGAACCTTATCCCAACATCCTTACATCCAGAGGAAGAATATTCTCCTTATCAAGGTATCATTTTTTGACACAGCTCTGGAAGGCTGTCTGTTGGATAACACAGGCAGAAAAGCCACCTGGCTGGAGACAGCTTAGGATGAAGTCAGAGACCATAGGCAGTGATTCATCTGCCCTGCTCTAAATGATTGAAAGTCAAAAAAGCTGTTGTGCTGAGTGCTGTGGCACACAGATACCCTGCTCTGTATGAATTTCTAGTAGACTAGGTTCAGTCCATGACTGGGCTCTCCGTGTTCCCTGGGTTGCATCAGGCATTAGTTAAGTTAGCAGAGATGCCAAGACAATTTATATAGGATGTGTCAGAGAAACCACTTTCCTAGTAATTTATTTCATCATGTGAATTGATCCAATCTGTGCATTTGTTTGGATAATAACTACTTAAAAAAAAAAAAGAAAATTAGTGTGTATGGCCAAAATATGTTGGTGCTAGAACAGCACCAACAGAGATAAACATGTTTCAAAAAGGGGATGGGTATGATTTCAATATATATGAGAACAACGTGCAAAAAAGCTGAGCTTGAACTTCTGCATCCAACATTTGCTGTTTCTCAGGTAAAGGCAATTTGAGCTGCAGATTTTAGGTTCATAAAATGAGACTGATGATACTTCTTGCAGTTATTTTTCTGGGGTCCTTGCTAGGAATTTGATACGAACAAATGGGGTAGTCTTTGCACTAATTTTGTATTCCATCTCTTAAAACAGCTTTGATCTTGTTACCATTGGTGGAATCTCCATTATCCTGCACTTTGAGCGGGCTCCCTTCATCACCCAGGAGCACACGCTGTGGTTGCCGTGGGATCGCTTTTTTGTGATGGAAACCATAGTCATGAGGCACGAAGAGAATGAGATCCCAAGCTGTGACCTCAGTAACTTCGCCCGGCCCAACCCTGTGGTCTCTCCATCTCCGCTCACTGCTTTTGCAACTTCCTGCTCAGAGAAAGGTCCTATTGTTCCTGAAATCCAGGTATGAACCATCTGAGCTGAGGGACTATAACTCATAAAATCATAGAATGGTTTAGATTGGAAAGCATCTTAATAATCATGTAGTTCCAACTCCTCTGCCATAGGAAGGGACACCTTCCATTAGACCAGGTTGATCAGAGCCCCATTCAACCTGGCATTGAATTGGGATTGGGGCATCCACAGTTTCTCTGGGCAACCTCTGCCAGTGCCTCCTCATCCCCATCTTCTTTCTGTGCTTCTTTTGACAGCCTTGAGCTGCACAAATGCAACTATTCCCATGCTTTCCTAACAATAAGCATTCCCCATTTGTTACCCCATTTTTCAGACATTTGACAGAAGCTCTCACTCCCAGGCACTTGCATTACCAGATTTCCCTTATCCCTGAGAGATGGAGGCAAAGCACTTGTAACTGACAGCACATGAGCTGGGACCCTTGTGTGACTGTCAACAAGCCCTTGGCCAGCCCTTTGGCATTCAACATGCCCAGGACCAGGCTGATGCTCTTCCTTTGCTTTCATGCCTGTCTTCTGCTCAGGCCCAAATTCCACCCACTGGGCACTATGAACCTTGGTGGTGGAGTGTTGGAGTGAGCCTTTTCATGGTTGGAAGTCACTCCCCCCCACTCTACACAGCTGCTGAGACATGCAGTTAACCAGCAGATAGCTGAGAAGGGGCCAACCTGCAGAGCAGCTCAGTTTTACTGTATTTCATGACTTTTGGAATAGATGAGCAGAGTGAGAGGATTACCTTTAATTTCTCATCCCCATTTTCTTTTTTTTTTTTTTGAGGAAGTGTGAGTCAGATAAAGAGCCTTAACAATCTGCTGTGGCATCAAAGTATTTTGTCAAATGGAAAGATGTGTTTTAAACTGAATAGTCCAAAGAACCAAATTACCAATTTTCCTTAAAAACACTAATTCTGTTGAAACATATGGATGTAGCAGCATTCAACATTTGCTATCTTGGACACGCTGTTCTCTGGATTTTATATGCCAGTATTCAGGCATGTCCTGAGTATTGCTTTTAGGGACAATAATCTGCCAAGGTGGAAATAACAAGTGTAGAGATAAATTGTGTGCTTCCGGCATGGTACTCCACTGGGGTTGCAGTACCATTAATGAGGAAAGAAGCAACTTTATGCCTTCTAATTTTAATAAACCAGGTACTAAACCTAGCAACAAATAAAGCAGTGGTCTCTTTACCTTTCCCTCTGGACAGAGGCTTATGATCCTTTCTCACACTAATTTCCAATTACAGTCACCATGTTTGTCCCAGCATAATTACTAATTAAGTCCTGTATCTTGTAAAGTCCATCATGTTATAAATTCTTGGTTCAGAATCTTGGTTTCCACATTTTTTTAATTAAATAAACAAACACCATGAAAGGTAATGGTCAGTGCTGCCTGGAAAAAAGCAAATATCTGATACAGTGCAACTATGATCATAACCTCAGTCATTATTTGGTACCACAAACACCTTCCAGTAGACCAGGCTGCTCAGAGCTCCATCCAGCCTGACTTTGAATGTTTCCAGGGATGGGGCATGGGGCATCTACCATCCCTCTGGGCAACCTGTGTCAGTATTTTACCACCTTCACCAAAGATATTTGGTGCCATTTGAAATGTCCTGCTGATATCCTGCTTGGCCTCCAACTGCCAATCCAGAATGATCCTCCTGCCAGTGTCTTGCATTGTATCTTCTGAATCCTTGTGAATAGCAGATCACTTGGACATCCCAAATCCCACTAGAAACCTGCAGTTATGGTATCTAATACATAAGAAAGATTAATTTTGAGATTATAAGGAGTTCATGTGCACTTGTCTGGATATGTGCCAAATATCCAAGCTCCCATTTAAGGGGACAGAAATCTAATCACTACATCAGTGGAGCCTACACATCACTTAAGCTGACCATCTTGAAGCTTTCTGGTTCACACCAATGGTATCAGATTCCACTGACTGAAATTGGTGTTTACATGCCTACTGCTCATGAACATACTTATAAGTTGACATCTGGATTTAGATGCCTTCAACTGGAATTGAATCCCATTCTTAAGTTTAGAAGGCAACACCAACCTTCTAAAGGTATCTGCTGTTAGCTGTAGGGAAGACCTAAGAGAGCAGTTCAGAGACACCTAACTTAAGTTCCTAAGTTGAGATAAGATGAATCCCCTACATGATAAACACAGCGCTTTTCCTATGTGCCATATGTCTGAGCTAAAGCATGTAAATCAATATTCCACCTCAAATACTGACAGCTGAAGGTCAACAGAGTTTGTGGTGCTGGAGTTTACAAGAGAATCTGATTTGTGGCAAACTCCTTACTGTACTGCAGTCCAGAAATGGACTACTTTTCATTTCTCTACTGGATGTATAGAAACAAAAAATAACCTAGTTGTCCCTTCCTGCAGCTGCATTTTATAATACACAGTTCTCAGGAGGTAAATGTTAAATATAAAAGGTGTGAGCACATAGCTGGGAGGAGGTGACAAGTATATAGCAGAGCTAGGAAAGAGATTTTGACAAGTGGGTAGATAAGAACTTCATGAGCTCCAACAAATAAATGCAGTGCTCTCTACCTGGATGCATTCAAAAAACCTAGTAGTGCGTTTTTTATATTTGATTCAAGTACCTATAGACATATTTGGGGACATTCAGGATGCCCTGAAATGTTCCTTCAGGCCTCCAGCTGTAGCTTCAGAAAGGTAGAGATGTCAGAAAGGTCCACATCATGCCCTTGCCTAAGTTTTGGATACCACAGAACGTTTCAAAAGCACTAGATATCTATGTTAAGGCCCCTGAATCCCTGAATCAGACTCTAAATGGGTTTCTTTTTTAAAATTCTCTCTGAGTCTCTTACTGAAAAAAAAAAAAAAAAAAGAGAGAGACATTAACTGTTCCTTGCCTATCTGCTGGCAGGGTGAAGAGTAGCTGTAAGTGACATGTGTAACCCAGCAAACAGAAACAAGACTTCCAACCCTGTCTCATGCAAAAAGTAGAAAAAATTCTACTAAGACAAGAACAGATCAACACCACAGAGCCAAGAGAACATGACAGTGAAAATTGCTACGTTGTGTAAATCCCCAGTTAGCCTAAAGAAGCAGCTCTTCTGGCTGCCTAGCCTTGTGGCTGGACCTCTTTAAAAGAGCAGATTAAATTGATTAGTCTGGGATAAACTCTTAAGAGTCTTTCACAAGGCCTGCAGTCACAGCATATGAATGTGTCTGGGCCAAACAGCAATTATCAAATAGAAATAAGGACACAATTCAGCTCGTTACTTCTAGCACATTCAGATTATTTTAAAGCTTGTTTTCCTCCTTTTATCCCAGTGAATTGTACACCCCCCTACCAGTGCTGTGTTTTGTTGCTAGTTGGTCACCACTTACAAACTACAAATATATTTTGAATCACCTGAATTACTATTTGAACCCTCTCTTTGAGCAGATACCTTTAAACACAGCCCCTTCTGCTGCTCATTGCCTTGGCAGCATTGAGCTGACCTTTTCTTTGGAATGGTAGACAGCAGAGATAGATCAGGACAAAGAGAAATAATTACTGTTGATAAGGATCTGAAACAGATTTTCCAAATAGTATCTCCTTGACAATTATTTTTGCCTGGTTTTATCCTAATGGGGTTACATATGAAGACAGATTTGATACAAGGGACCACCTTTACTGCAGTTTGGCTCTGATTGAGCCTGGTCCCCATCCAGCTTGTTGCTGATCTCACATATTTTTAAAATCCTAGGTTTTCCCAGTTCTGTCATATTTCAGCCTCCTAAACACTGAGATATGTAAATTAAAAAGACTGCATTAGAGAAGGTAAATATTTATGAACACAATGAAATGGGGCTTTAATTGCTGGATTTGTCCATTTTCAAGTGCTGCAACACTTGGAGCTTTAGTTATCACTTGAAAAAGTGTTGGGCCTTGGATAGCATCTCAGAAGAGGTATTTTCAGGGGGAAGGTTACAAGATTTGTCATTTTTGGTAACACTAACCAAAAAACCTGTAAGAGTTGAGCAACTCACTGTGCCAGGGAAGTTTGCTGCTCCCACATTGAAGGAGCTGGGTATAGGAGTGACATAACTTGGAAGGTACAAGGATCATGGAATCCTAGAATCTCCTGAGTGGGAAGGGACTCACAAGGATTATTGAGTCCAGCTTCTGGCCCTGCACAGGACACCCCAAGAATCACACTGTGATGGATGTGATCCCTACCTGATGGGTGGATCTCCTGACCCACCTACCTTCAAGCTTCCCCACCCTTAATATTCAGAATGACTATTGCTAGGGAAGTATTTTCCAAGCTCATTTAGGGTCCAGCACACTGAAGAACTTCAGAAGTGCCACAGGAGAGAACTATGCCAGCTGTGACCTTTTAACACATCCTGTTAGCAGACCAGGCTTTCCAGCTCACTGATAAACTTCTACCTTCATTTTTCAATCTTCACCAGAGGTTGCTGACTTGTGCCAAAAAATGTCCAAGTTGGGGGCCTACCCAAGAGTGAAGTTTTCTTGACAGTGACAATTTTTTCTCCTAAGACTTTTTTATTAGCATTTTGCATGGAAAGATCAGCACCATGTCAGGGATATACTTGTATCACTTTTCATAAACTTTCCGAGCATTTCTCCATTAAAAAAAAAAAAAAGAAGAAGCCCTGGTGATAGTTTAGCAGGTAAATTAGCTGAAAATTCCATCTTTGTTGAGACGTGTCTGTTCTCAGAGCAGAAAAAGCTTTCTCTGATGTTTCTTCAGTCTTTTCTGAAGTTTTGTACTGTAATGGGTACCTGTTAGATAACTGTCCCAGCCAGTCAGAACCCACACTTATGGATGAAGGTGAAAATGAAGCAACTCACTTAGAATACAGAGGAGTTTGGAAAAGAAAGAGAAGGAAGAATGCAAGGGAAGAGAAAGGAGCTATAGGTGGCAGGTCAGGCCAACAGTTCTATCACTTAAGTAAGAAGGAAAGGAATTTTAAGCAAGTGCCAGAATAAGTAGGAATAAACGTGAGGTCAGAAAATAAGGGTGAGAACACAGATTAAAAAAACGACTAGAGGTAGACAGTAGATCAGGTAAAGAGGGTCAGAGGGGAGGTAGGAGAGGAGCAGTTTCAAAGAAGGAGAAATGGGTTAGTCAGAGGAGGGAGGGTGGAGTCAGGATTCACTAATGTCTTGGAGAGAATTGCATGTTATGATCAGGACCAAGAAACATCCTTAAGGCCAAGTAAGGCGTGATGTTTTACTGGGAAAATGAAGCCAGGAGACGAAAATTAGAAGCCTCTAAAACCTATGATGATAAAAGACAGAAAATGGAAGCTAAACTGGTGGGCTGTAATTATCTGAGATCCCAGACTCTTTTATCCCTGGGTCCTGGTACTCCTTGTAAAAATGAGTCCCTTCGTAAACACTGACTTAATATGACACTTTGTTCTCCTGTTCTCCTATGTAACAGAGATGGAGAAGGCAGGAGACATTCCTTAGCTTCCAGAAATAAGTTATGTATATGATTTCATACTTGATGCCTACTAGGTGCCTTTTTAGACATGCCTGCCAGAGCTTTTATACAGGTGTGTTTGATAAATTACAGCTTCACTGCCTTTTCCTGTCTGCTTGCTGCTGATTTAACACCTCGTGGATTGCTTTTCCACAGGCTCTACAAGAGGAGATTAACGTTTCCGGCAGTAAAATAAAAGTGAGTTACCTGAGCAGTCGCACAGCTGGCTACAAATCAGTGCTGAGGATCAGCATGACCCACCCCACCATCCCCTTCAACCTCATGAAAGTCCACCTCATGGTGGCTGTGGAGGGACGCCTCTTCAGGAAGTGGTTTGCAGCGGCTCCGGACCTGTCCTACTATTTCATCTGGGACAAGACAGATGTCTACAGCCAGAAGGTGTATGGGCTCTCAGAAGCCTTTGGTAAGTGACCCCAGGGTTTGTGCCTCCTTTTAGAAGCAGCTAAGTGGCAGTGATAGACTTTGTCCTAGATCAGTTTGGTCTGACTGCAGACACATGAAATGGTCCCTGCAGATTCACTGCAGCACACATTCCCAGCAGATGAGTCACAGAATGGTTTGGGTTGAAAGGGATCTAAAGACCATTAGTTCCAGTGCCCCAGTCACAGGCAGGGATGCCACCCATTAGATCGGGTTGCCCAGAGCCCCATCCAACCTGGCCTTGAACACTTTCAAGGACAGAATACAAACACTTATCTGTTCTCTGGCTCATGGCCCAGCACGTACATCCTGAGCTGCTCCCATCAAATTCATACAGAAGGAGTTAACTGGGACTAGAAGCATTTGGCTGCCTCTCACCTACAGCCAAAAACTGTCAACACTCCTTTGAAAGGAATCCCTAGGACAGAGCCCTGATTGCCACTACTCCTTGTGCCTGACCTTCAGGATTGGTCTAATCTTAGTTTCCCCTTCATTACCCATTCAAGAATGCTATCCCATACTGGGTGTTTAGTGAGCAGAGGTAATGCAGTTCTGCAGTGATTGGTTCCCATCTGTCAACACCAAGTGGACATTCAGTTACAGGTCTTCATCTGCGTCTAGACTAGACCTTTCAGGCTGCCAGGAAATGATGCCAGCAAAGTGGGAGAGATCCCAAATTATCAAATACAGCTCCTGTTGACAGAAGGATGGTTCACTGATGCCTCATAGCTCAACTGAAGATAAGTCTTTTTAAAGGAGTTGCAGGATGCCTGGTTTTCCAGGAGTAAGAATAGGTGCCTTTCTCCTCTCACTCAGGCTCAGCTGCCTTGAGAAGGCTCTGAGACTCTGCTGAGCCTTACCCAGCTCAGGGACCACGCTGAGAAATGTGTCCTGCTAGCATATCCTGAAGAATTCTGTGTGCATGCTCTTAAAGATGCTAGATCATCAGTGGGTCTTGGAGTGCTCCATGAAACAACTCTGCAGCTCCAGACTACCCAAGCAGGTCTAAGGACATCAGCATTCATGCCTTCAATGATTCTCACCTCCAGAACAGTGGAAAATATTGACCTTTCGTATCTTAACTGATACCTTTTTCTGATGCAATCTGCAAAAGGCTGTGTTTGGTGGCAAATCCTGAGTTCTCTCAGTGCTCAGCACTTTTCAAAGAGGCTGGTAAACTTGTAAGATCAGACTTTTTTTTTCTATCTAGTAAAAAAAAAAAATCTATGTAATTACTTTTCATTTGTGTGAAAGTTGCAGTTCTGCTCTGCTTCAGCTGTAAAGATTAGAAGAAAAGCAGACCAATGAAAATGGTCCTGCTTCTTCTGAGAAAATCGTAAAGGAATTATTATTATTTTGTCCAAAACATAATTTTCCTTCTGCTGACATAATTTTAAGCAACTCCAGCGTGTTCAGTGGAGTTACTCCTGAAAGGCTCTGATTAGACATCATGGCAAGCAAACTTTTGACATTAACAATGACCACAAGTCAACCTGGTTGAGACTGCTGCCTCTGAGAGACTCACTGCCCCATGCATGAATTGTGAAAGTCTTTACCTTCCAAGAAAGATCATAATCAAGATCAAGTTCCTGGCATGCACTCTTTGATCAAAGAAAATAGATAGGGGTAAAATTCTCTCATCTGAGACTCCAGCACTGATTTACTCTCAAGTCATAGAATACCCTGAGTAGTAAGGGACTTCTGGAGATCGAGTCCCAATCTTAATATCCATTATACCATTACAACAGCATTTTTTAAATTTTTAGCACATTCATCCAACACCTACAAGGGCGTCGGTGACCTTTTTAAATTTTAATTGACCTTTTTAAATGCAGAATAGACTTTTAAGAGAAAAAATATTAGGATTGTGCATTATGATGATGACATTTTCAATTAAATTAGCAATTTTCTGTAGAAATGTTCTTACCCCTGCTCAATTGTGACTCTGTGCGTGCTGGCACTGCATTTCTGGGTTGCTAATCTAAGGAGTCTTTTGTTTCTCTCTTCTTCACAGTTTCAGTAGGTTATGAGTATGAATCCTGTCCAGACTTAATCCTATGGGAGAAGAGGACAGCTGTGCTTCAGGGTTATGAAATCGATGCTTCCAAACTTGGAGGATGGTCCCTGGATAAACACCATGCCCTCAACATACAAAGTGGTAGGTTGTCTGTAACACATAACAGGAATAGTACAGCATTGCAAGACCTAGTTGCTCCTCACCACTAAGAATTCAAGAAAAAGGAAGGAAGGAAACCTAACCAACACATGTGCTCTCCCGTGTATTTTACTAACAAATTATTTTGAGTAACCTACATTTAGAAGCAATTTGGTGTGCAAAATGTAAAAGAGGCTGGCCATCGTGAAGTAGTTGAATGTCAGTCCAACTTTGTAGTGTTGTAAAAGAAGGATATTAACAAGAAAAATATTCCTAAAATAACGAAGGAGAGCCTATTCAGATTGGAGCTGTCACTAAGCATAAATCCACCCAGAGGCATCCTCCAATGTGCCAAGTGTACTTGGAAAACAAGAGGCTTCATAGGTCCTAAGGGAGAATGGAAGGTTCCAGAGTCCTTGAAGACTGCTGAGGACTGCAGTAGCGAGGCTTAAAAGTTGATCAGAACATGTTCAAAGGTAGAAGCACTGTGTCCCTTTACATAATAGTGGTATGGGAGCAAACATCTAATTCAGCCCACATCACTGCTGAGAGCACTACACTTGGAAGGAAAATAGGCAGAGCTCCTCTAAAACTTTGCAGATGAAACATTTCTCTAGAGAATGTCCCATAGTCTTCCTGGCCCTTACTTTTCCATGAGCTATGTAATTTCTTTATTTTTTTAACCTAGTAGACAGCAAATTACTGGGCAAGGAGGAACAGAGAGGGCAGGTAAAAATTCATAAGATGCTGAAAAGTGGATTTCATTCAAAGGTAAAGATAGTCTTGTTCTCCCTACATATTTTCCTTCTGTGAATCTAATGGATCTAAAAAAATATTTACTTCAGAAGAGAGGCTCCTCATTTGAAACTATTGCAAAACAATACTATGAAAGATGATAAACCTTCTTGCTACTTAACAGATGCCCCAGCTGGCATGCAGCATTGCCAGTTTGTGCTCCCTTTGATCTCAGTCTCCCCATTTTTTTCATTTCCATAATAGTGTTTTCTCTCTCTCTCTAGGCATCTTGCATAAAGGAAATGGGGAAAACCAGTTCATTTCCCAGCAGCCGCCTGTAATTGGAAGCATTATGGGCAATGGCCGCAGACGGAGCATTTCTTGTCCAAGCTGCAATGGTCTGGCAGATGGAAACAAACTCCTGGCTCCTGTTGCCCTAACATGTGGGTCTGATGGAAGTCTTTATGTTGGAGATTTCAACTACATCCGAAGGATCTTTCCCTCTGGCAATGTCACCAACATACTGGAGCTGAGGTACTCTGTGCTGAATGTGGCCATTGGAGTAATGTTCTTAAGTTCTGCAGAAATCCTAGGTACCCAAAAGAAAAATCAGCAGAACTCTTTTAAAAAAAAGCAAACAACACAGCAAAACAGAGAAAAAGCTGTCTGGATCTGCCTCTTCTGCAACTCTGCTGACTTTGATTTACACCAGAGAAACACAGGCCTAGTGAGTTCTTCCAGAACTGAATCACACGCCAAAAATATTGACACATTTCTGTGCTGCTGAATCAGACTGTGCTGATGTCTGCCTTTTCCTGTAGTCAGAAACCAGTGGGAATGCTGGAAATTAACAAGCAGCCTCTGAGATAACCTAAACTTGAAAGGACACAGCACTGATGATATGTAGAGGTGAATCAGGACTGATAATCACTCATAATTTAGAAAAGATGATCACTCTAGGCAGTCACAGACTGGGGTTTTCTAGTTCTTTTTTGAGGGGACAGCTGTAGCAGCCCCCCCTCAGTTCCCAACTGAGCAGCAGTGTCAGGCTGAACATGCAGATGGAGCATCTGGAAGTAAGTGGAGAGTTTCCTTTTAACGCTAGAAAGCAAAGGAAAAAATACACCAGGAGAAATAACAAGGAAGGGGAATTTCTGCAAGGACTGCAGCCAAATTTGTGCAAGATCCCCTTAGTCCATCGTGCACAAACATGCCATGGTCATTAGACCTCACCAAAAGTCTTATTTGGCACTCAGAACCATCCTTGTAGATCACGGTGTATGGAAAAAAATAAATCCAGACAGCCACCAGAAGGCTGGCACTTACAGAATAGCTGCCTTGGTATGTACACCTCAGAGGGCTGGGGCACCTTTCAAGGAAGGAAGCAAGAACTTCATTTTTGCTATTCTGTTCCATGAGAACACAGTATCTCTCATGTTTGTAAGGTGGGAAGCTGGGATAAACCTTCAGACCTGGTCCTCATTAGAGCGTAATATGCTTCCAGTGCCAGAAAGTTATTTTAATGACCAAAGGTGAGATTTCCAGAAGAGCCTAGGTGAGCCCAAATCCCATTGCAACAGAGTAGGATTAATATCTCTTTCCCAGAAGTACAGTTTTGAAAACCCAGTCCCTGTTTCATTGTCAGTGGAAATACCAGACCAAACAGAGGTTTTGCAAAGTATTTCCTCCTTGAGGAAGAGAAAATTGGAAGCCTTGACAGAGTAGCCTTGCTGGCTGTTGTGTAGAGCCGCAGAGTTAAATTTACTCCAGAGTTAAATCTGCTGCAACGATTGCTGCTTCATCTGTGCAAACACTCAGGTTACTGGATCTAATAAACATTTCTTCACTCTGGTGTGCTATAAAGTAAGTGGGTTCAGATGTCGGCTGGCTAAAAGCTGTGGAGAAAAGCCATTGCTTTTGGACTAGATGGAGTTTGCTTGTGTCTTCTCAAATCAGCATCTCCTTTGAGATTAACACCCTCGCTGTTTGGCTCCAAGGTTTATTTGCAGGGGTAGCTTTGGAGCGTAGTGTTCTGGAAAGCAAATGCATTGTGGGTCAAAGAGAGCTGCAGCTGGGTGTGTAACTTAGACCTGTGAAAAATGTCCAGCTTGACATAATTTCAGTCCTCGGGGCTGGAGTTCACGAGGTTACAGCAATGAACTGCCACCTGTAACTGCAACTCTTAAGTTATCTTTGTAAATCACAAGGTGTTGCTTTGAGGGTGAAAAAGAACTGTAAAGGTATCTGCATCTCCATCTATTTAGCTCATTGCTGCACTGAATGATAGATAAAGTCTGATGGTCCTATCTCTTGTGTGAGTGAATAACTCCAAGCAGGTGAGATCACACTTCCTTTGTGATATGCAGCAGTACATAAGTGAGCTCACTGCCAAGTAATATCCAATATAAAATACATCAGTGTCATTCCAGCTAACTCTTTATTTATTATTGCATTGTATGATACAGTTACTGTCAAGTTTTCAATCTGCTAATAATGCATTGAACTGAGCTGCTAACACCTCATTCTTTCTTCTATTCCCTGCTTTCCTGTCTTCTGTCAGAAATAAAGATTTCAGACATAGGTAAGCCAACCAGTGGAGAATTCTTATGCTGCTCCCTGTCTTGTTGCATGTTGTTACACAGTGAGCCACAAGTGCCATTTCCAGATGATTCAATAGCAAATGAAACTGGCGTGATTAAAACTGGCGTAGGCAATCAGTCATCAGAACTGGAAGCCATTAATCACCATGTGAGCCATGCAAGCTTCTGCATGAGCTGTTATAGCTGGAGACAGGGCAAGTACAGGCATGAGAAGCAAGGTAACAGGAGGAGGGGGGGGAAGAAAAATGGGTGGAAATTAACGAAGGAAGTAAAATGAGAACAGCATCAGGATACAGATCACAGAAACAGCTAGGAAGGAAAAATAATTCTCATACAGTGAAAAGCCTTCATTTGAGTTTGGGGGGTTTAACAGGCATAATGAAGATCCCAATGTGCCCCAGCATCACCCACCCAGGGAAGTTAGTTTTTGTAACATTTTCCAGTCTGAGCTTTCATAGAGAGCTTTGACACGTGAACGTCTGTCAGGCTGAAATAGGAGGTAGTGCAACTCAGAACCTTATCCAGGAAATGCAATAAAAGAGTAAAGACAAGAAAACAAGATTAAAGAGAGACTCCTAAATTGGAGCTTTGTCACTAAGAATATTTGTCACTTGGGTTCACTGGAGTTTCAGTGGGTTTGATCCAATCAGTTGCATTCCAGGAGATGTCAACTTCCTGTCACTGCCTGTGTTTGCAAGGACTTCTCTGACTCTGACAAGTTTCCTATCCTTCTCCCTGGTTGCTTTTCTAAAGCAGAAGCTTAGACTGTGTGGAGTTGGGATTTTTGTGTATGTGTGTTTAGCTTTCTTTTGCATTTGGGATTGGGAATTTTTCTTGCTACATGCTTTTCATTTACTATTTTTTTTACTTCATAGAGGCTATGCTAAACCAGAAATGTTCTTTCATCTGCATGCCTGAAAATGAAATGGAGTAGAAACTGATTTTTTATCCTATTGCCAGAACAATAACGAAGGGCAGAGCTTCACAGTATAGTGGACTGGCCCAAAGCATCTATTAGCAGGGCTGGGAGGTTGGTACCAAAGACCTTTTCACTGATTGTCCTCATCAGGCTGAGTTCCAGGCCCCCAACTACTCTTTCACATCATTTGAAGGCTACAGAAGAATTCATTTCTCTTTGGAACAGCCAGGTTGTATCCCTAATGCCCAAGAAATACACAGCCACTAAAGTGCATCTGCTTTGACAGTGAAGGGCAAAAGCTGGATACCTGTTATGAGAAGAGGTTTTGTGTATGAAAGCAGTAACTGAAGGAAGATCTATGGACTGGCCCCAAACGCTGCAGATTGGCAAGCAAAGTTGGTAGGGCTTTAGCCTTTAGGCAGTTCCTAAAACCTAAAAAATTAAGTGAAAGAAATCCAAGACATGCCTGCTTCAGTGTAGCCCAAAGGGGATCAGGGAGGGAGGAGGCAGGTGAGGAGGTCCAGATCAAATATTCCTGTCTGTGACTGCATTGAAGGAGTCACCCATCTGTTAGTGCCTGTTCTGTGACATTTGCTTTAATTTGCTTTAATACTTCTTGCTAGGAGAGGTCTCTTTGCTCCTGACCCTCGGAAATGTGTGGGTGTAGTCTCAGCTAAAGCTCCAGTGCTTTGAACTCCAGAAAGTCCTAAGCTTGACAGCAGCGACCAGCAGTGGTGCAAAGGGTGGGATCCACAGTGCTGAATCTTAGTGGTTTGGAAAATCTGTATGCTAAAGCTGCCTCAGTTAATTAAATTAATTTAAATTCTTTTCTTGTTTCCATTCATACTGTAGAGAAAAGTCTACAATTAGTGACAAAGAGAGGTGTCTCAGCAAACAGCCCTAGGATCAGATAAAAAGTCCCTTGCAGTCTCTGGCTTGGCTTATGGCATTGCTATAAAGTTTTATTGTCTAGCGTGTCACACTAGAAGAGCTTTGGGCATCACACACAAACTGCAAACACTAAAAGACCAAGTGTAAATTCAGCTCCCTGCACTGTGTGGCCTCCTTAGGTATTAATCTATTGAATGTCACCCAGGGAAAACAGACCAGTATCTCACACAAGCTACAATTAAATCCTCTGGTTCTGAGCTGCAGGGTGCTTAGCATGGAGCCATGGAAACACAGCCTCACTGAACAAAATACTTCTGGCTGCAGGAATTTGGTAGTTCTTTAGTCACCAGCAAATGTACATGGCCAGCAAGGCTCAGAGGGGAAGTGGGTAGCTGGCACAGAAGAGGTGATTTTGTGTCCTTAAACAGAGACATCAGATCCAAAGAAGCCCCAGGGGCTTATCCAGGTCAGTAATTGTGGGTAACTAATTTTGTTGGTGTGACTGCTCCTGTCTGTTGACCACAGTGAGAACCAGAGCTGTACAGTTACCAGTAACAGAAGTTATCCTTTGAGGAGGTGATAGATGCCCTTGCATTTGAGAAACTAAGATACAGTTCACCTTGTAAGATAAATGTTGAAAATAATCAGACAAGTCCTACCCCAAAAGCTGGTATTTCTCTCCACTGCTTGTAAAGGGAATTAAGGCAACCAGCTCTGATGTGAGCATCCACTTCATAACCATCTAAAGCTTGGTGATATTAATCCTTTGGCATTTTACAGAAACCAATAGAAAGGTGCAGTCTGCTGTGCTGATGTTTTGTAGGGAACCTGTTGAAAAAAGGGACCATTTCCCTTTTCTCATCACTATTCCGTAGAGACTGGCTTCCCACTCTGGAGCAGGAGGTTCCTTCCTAGGGCTCCTCCAAAACATGGGGTCTGTGCCCAAAGGGAGAATACCAGCCTTTGTTCAAAGCTGTGCATATATCATAGTACAACTGAAGCAATCCACAATCCAAGCCTCATGCCTCTGCCAGCTCACCCAACGTTGTTTCTTCCTGTTTCTTCCCCATGCGTGTGTGTAAGGAATCACGTAAAACACAAACACCTTAAAATAGAGTCTGAATCTCTTAACATACCTGCAGAGCTGCCTAAATGGTACTGGCAGTATCCTGTCCAAACAATGAGAATGATAAAAGGGAGAAGGCAGATGTATGGATGAGACTATACACAACCCCAAACAAGTGGGATCGCTGTGGACTTGGAAGATTTCCCTGTGCTTTCCCAGCACATCACTGTGTCACAAGTATACAGGGCAACAGTGTCACCTCCATTTCACTTTGGCTTGCAGAACCATGAAACTGTTCTCATTCCCAGTGACTACACCATCATGCCCTCTAATACCTATCAGAGTGTCAGTTCTTGGCTAGTGTCCAGCCCATCCCATCACTGCAACTTCACTGTTGTTGCTTCAGGGGATTTAAAATATCAATGCATTGCTCAGGTTTTCTTCTAAAAATCTGTAATAGCTCAAGGAATGCTCTGAATGGAAATCAGTTCTTCCTCCACAGTCATTTTCTAGTGGCAGTGCCAATATGGGGGATAAATGTTCTAAGGCTACACATAGTATAACCAATCAAGTCTTTTGAATAGTAGAAAGTCTTGTCTTTTGTTTTGGACTGTTACCTAGCTGAGAAATATGAGAGGATGAAAGGGGAAAAAAAGTCTTCTCTGCTTCACCCCAGGCATATTTATTTCAGTTGCTGTTCAGCCCAGTCCAATTTACCACTTGGATTTGCCTATTGATTGTGACTTTAAATAAAAAGTGAATCCCCAGTGTTCCTGGCTCCACTGCTCATGCACTACCACAGATAAAGGGAAGCAGTTTGGGAGATTCTACATGACCAACATATGTTTATTTAAGCATCTTTCACCCTGTAGGATCTCAAAGTGACAAAAAAAAAAACAACAAAAAAACCAAAACAAGTCCAGTGTATGATACTGTGCAATTCATGCTAGAGGCAGACCATGATACTATCTCTCTGCAGTGCTGAAAACAGTTGGCAGAAGCCAGGGGGATAAATTCCAGCTTGACCATTTTTAACAGATTGTCTCAGTGTCTATTCTGTACAAGAGCTGGGAATAGAAAATTGTTTTTAAGAGCTCTCTTTTTTACAGAAGATAGTAATCAATAATAAAATCCACCAGAGTGAGGCTGTGCAATCCAGAAAATAAATCACAACAATAGTGCTGGGAGAGGGGAGCGGGAATTTCTCCCTGTCCCCATTTTTCTCCGTATCTGGGTAAGTCATTTGACTTTGCCCATCTGCACACAGCCTGCCCTAAAACTCAAGGAAAGTTATCTGTGCTTGCCAGTCAAACATGGTAAAGGATTGCAAAGTGCCATTAAAACTGTCCTCCTCTTGTCCACCTCCCATGCAAAATAGAGATTATGAACAGCTCAAAAGCTTACTGACATTCAGCCAGGCTTTGTTAGGACAGTCAGCAGAAAATGCAAGGCCCTGATCAAAATGGATGATGGATTCCCACAGGGAACTTCTTCCACCAGGGTTGAAGCCACTTGCTTAGTGTGAGTGGCATGCAGGTAAATGAAATAATACCCTCCCAGCCTGCTGTCATTGGGAAGGAATACAGATGGAGACTGAACTGTCAGGCTGGAGCTGTCTTGAAGGTCAGAGCATTTTATTTAGCAAGAATCAGTGTCATTTTTGGAGATGAAATCTGTTCAGACTTTAATAGGATAAATCACAAGGGATATTCCAGAATAAATCAGAAAGGTGCTTTTCCCCCACCCCCATAGTATTAAATAATTTGAATGAAGAATCAGCTTACTGCTTTTTAAAGAAGAGAATAACTTAGTAATTTTTATGTGTCTAAAGAGGGGGTAATTTTCCTAACATAAAGGCTGAGAGGAATTCTTTATATGTGGAATAGAGTCAACTGTGATCAACACTATCTAGTCAACTTCTCCTAGAACAATTCCATTAAGTGCAAAATTGTGAACTGTGGCCTGTATTTTTATTATGAATTATTCGGACTTGATGAGTTTGGACAGCTTGAAGGTATTCTGGAGAAAAGTAGATACTTTTCAAACTTCTTCTAATTACTACTTAGGCTTTCATAGAAGGAAAATAAATGTTCAGGCCAGATGTTAAAAGTCTAACCTGTTGGTTTCAGGCTTAGAAGAGATGCAGCTCAATACATGCTGGTAGTCAACAATTTTAATAAAAGATATTAGTAACTTCAGCATCTATGTTAAAATACATGTAAAGTCCTTTCAAGACAATTGTTTAAATTTTATCTAAACCCATCTGGTTGATTTTTCTGACCAGTCCTATTGGATGCTTTCCATAAAGTGGATTCTAGTTTATTAATTTCTTCAGTCTTGGGTTAATTTGATGTTGCAGTCATAGAGCTAAAAATACTATCATTCTGTCTGCTCTTCCCATTTTCTCAGCCACCCTTTCTTGTGTCCAAGGAAACAGTAAGCAGAGGGTGTTCAACAGGGAACTGATGTTCAGGTTCCTCAGCCTAATACCAGTTCATGCTTTACTTGGGGCAAAATGTGCCACTCAGGGAATTATTTTGTTTCTCTCATCATTGAGGTCTAGCTGAATTCAGTGGCAGGATTCCCTTAATCTCCCTGAGGGCAGGACGGAACTTTAGAGTCTTTGCTGGAGTCAGCAAGAGCACCAGATGAGCTTTGATGCAGTGATCTTGCAGGGTGTATCTTCTAGTGCTTTATACAAGGAGTCTCCTTTTGGAGTTTCTATTAGTCTTTGTTGGGAGGCCAGATTTTTTTCATTATTATTTGTTTTATTTCCCTACTGTCTCGTGTTTTCCCTTCAGTTCCTGGCACTGCACGATCACCAGTTTCAGGACTATAACAAGTAAATTAAGTAAACACAGGCACTGGGACTCAACCTGTAGTAGTTCCTGGCATGGTTTGGGCTCAGACCAGAGAGCCCTTTCCTTCGGTTGCTTCCCTCCATGCCAGAGAGCACCCCAGGCACAGCAATTGCTAATGGATGCAGCTTGGGATCCTGTGCTGTAACACACTGTGTACTAACCTTGTCCAAAACAGCACTCCTTCACTTTCCCAGTCTTTCTGCCCCGTGCATTTTTATTCTCTAAAGTATTTGCATTGCCTGTTGACTTAAGGAAACACATCATCCAAAAAATTAATTCTGTCATACCCTTGTTTTTCAGCCACAGCCCAGCTCATAAGTATTACTTGACCACAGATCCGATCACCGGCTCCATCTACCTCTCGGACACCAACAGCCGACGTATCTATAAAATCAAGTCAACCACATCAGTGAAGGACATTGTGAAGAACTCGGAGGTCTTGGCTGGAACTGGGGATCAGTGCCTCCCGTTCGATGATACCCGCTGCGGAGATGGAGGCAAAGGCACTGATGCCACCCTTACAAATCCCAGGGGTGAGACTGTTTCTTCTCCATTGGTGTTTTTAAAGGGGGCTTTTTGAAAGCAGCTTGTTTAGTCACACTGGAGATTGCTCTCCTCTCCAATTCTGAAACACATTCTAAGGGCTTGCTCCTGGAAATAAGTGAATATGTCTCTCCCTCAAGTAGTTGTGTCATGGTTCTTCATATTCACGTGGCTGGGAGGAATGCCATGCCGGAGGGGTTCAGTGATGGGTGTGTGTCCAGAGGGCAATGGAATAAAGCCACCCATCACTTTTATACCCACAGAGCCACTACTCCTTACCAAGAGTGCTTGGTCCCTCCCAACCTGGGCAGGATTAACTAACATTCATTTCACTGAGGCTTTCTTGGCATTAAATAAAAGCCCTATAAGTGTTGCTGTATGCATATATATATATATATATATATACATGTATATATATAATGGTAGCAAAATAGCACACAGCTCAAAGATACACAAATGGTGCTTTAGACATTGACATTATATATCACAGCATCCAGCTTAAGTCCTGTAGGGGATGGATGCTAACTTTGATATGGGAGTGGTCTAATTCAGCTTAATTTTACCTGCTTCCAACATACTGAAATGTGATAAAAGCACAGTTGAATCAGAATAAAAGCATCACACAGCCTTCAAGGCTGTGAACTAAATTGTTCAAAACAGGTTTAGCCAAACATATGCAGTCCTGTGTGTAGCCAAGACTTCAGTCTGGCAATCTCAAGGTAACAAGCTCTGCAGATGGAGGATGTCGCTCCTCCCAGCTGTCCACAGCTCCTCAGAAAAAAAACCAAAATGCACAGGAGGATAGAGATGACGTGGGGGAAATAGAGGGATAAAGATGAGATGGAAGGCGCTGTTTGTACACAGATTTTCAACTGTGTTTGTGAAGAGGGCTGAGAAAAACACCCAGACAGGAATGGTTTTTTGAGATGTGGCATTTTTGCCTGTTACACATCATCGTCTGCACAGCTGTTCGGAGTGCAAGGAGTTATTTATAGTTCTTGACTTTGACATCAGTGTGCTGCAGGTTTTCTTTCTCATTGCATCGGGGAGTGGTAGCTCCTTCCTCACCACAACAGTGGCCAAGCCTATCCCAATATCTTTGTAAAGCAGCCCCTCAGCAAAACCTGAGGGTCCTTTAGCAAGTGCTCCTGCTCATGACAGCGGGTTCCGAGTAGATGACGTTCAAAGGCCTCTTCCAACCCAAACATTTCTGTGATTTTATGGAAAGTTATTTCACTAAGAGCAGGTAAGATTCCCAAAGAAGTTGTGGCTGCCCCATCCCTGGAAGTTTTCAAGGACAGGTTGGATGGGGCTTTGATCTACCTGGTCTAGTGGAAGGAAGTCCCAGCCCCTGGCAAGGGTTTGTAACTAAACTATCTTTAAGATCTCCTCCAACCCAAACCCTTCAATGATTCTATGATTCTCAGGAAGTTATTTTTCATTACATAGAGATGACATTGTTGTCACTGAATACAGGAGACCCAAAAAGATTTAATGAGCTTTTGTGTCAGGTCCGGCTGTGAATTTTTTATTTTTTTTTGGCCAAAAGGTATCGATACCCAGACTTCCACTTTTGTAATATTCAAAGAGTCCAGCATAGTTTCCAGGCACTCCAGAATCCCATGAGTTAACCATTTTATTGAGCTAAATTATTGCCAGAAGCACAGATATAAGTAAACGAACAGCTACTGGTGGTCAGTTTGCAGTGTAGAATTTGTCTCACTGAAATGAGAAGACTGACTGAAAAGAAAGTTAAGTGACTTGGGCAGAGAGATTCAGGCAGTCTAGCAGATCAATCACAATATCAGGGAATCCAGAAATCTGTAATCCAATTTTCTGCACCTCTTTGAAGTTCAATCAGTGCAAAAAAAAATACCCCACCGCTTTTGTTGGTCCTCTGTTCTCCCTTGTACAGGGTAAGAGGGATATTATTCATTTCCATCCATGGCTGAATGTTACAAGGTTTAGATGACTTATGTTTCTGCTTTGCTATAGCAAACAGCTCTGGAGTTCAAAGTTTTCAGCACTGAAATCCTTCTTGTTGGCAACTGAAGCTCTCAGGAGGCCATTCTTCCACCTCAATCATATAACAGCAAAATTCATGCATTCATTCCTCATAGGTCCAAAATTTCACAAAACAAGTAAATTGAGAGTGAAAGAGGAAATGACATGAAGGAAAATGACAACAAGAAAATAATAATGCAGAAAGCCCACACTGCCAATAGAAAGTTCCTAAACAGTGTTCCCTGATCTGATTCTAACCTGACTTTGCAAATTCTGCTGAGGCAACCACTGTGGCAGGTGTGACTCACTCCCCAGTCCCCTCAATAAATGATGAACAATGAAAACCCATGCTGACAATGTAATGTCACCATTGTTTATACCTTCACAGTGGTTCACCCTAGCAGAAAAATCCAGCAAATGCTCTTCCCTCATGTATTTCATAAGAGTTCAAAATAAAATTGATTTATTGTGTAAGTAACCAGTAGATCTCAAGTGACCCTCTGCCTCTGTGTCTTGGCAGGCAAACAAACACTCATAAGTGAATGGTCAGAGGAAATTAGAAAACTATTCTGTACTATAGAGATATCAGCTGGCCAGGGAAGGACTTGGAAAGTCAGTTTTTCAAGAATTGTTGCTCTTCACAGGATTCTACTTTTTAAGCCTAAAGCTATTTTTTTTTTCGCTCTGAACATAATTGCTTCATGCCAAGTAGGATTTCTGTATTTTAAG